CGGCTGTGATGATGTTTATTCGAGCGCTGTGTGAAGTGCGTTGTTTTTGGGGCCCGTATTCCACTGTCGGTGTTCGAGGCAGTGCGGCCGCGGAGGGTGATGCCTGGTTGGATTGCAGGGTCGAGACGGGGAGCAGGAATGGGGGAGCGGATTGGGGGGTGTTGCCAGTTACAATGATCCCAAGCGAGGTACGAGATGGAATGCCAGAGGAAAATTTCTAAGCCGAGGCGGTAGCGGCGGGCTTGTTCTTCTTCTTGGTCTGGCGAACGGCGGTGGAGAGGAGAGCCTTGATCTTGTCGTCGGTGACCTGCTTTGTGGGCTTGAGGTTGTTCTCGTTGGCCCAGGTGGGGGCGGGGGTGAGGCGGATGGCGCCCTTGGAGTTGACGGCGACGGTGAAGAAGATCTGGGCGGTGATGGCCTTCTTGTCCGAGTCCTCGAGCACGTGGAAGGGGGTGAGGAGGCCGTGCTTCCAGCACTCCTGGACGCCGATCCTCGCGCGACGCACGTCCTCGAGGCTCTTGAGGTTGAAGGGGAAGGAGGCGGCCTTCTTCTGGATCTCGGAGAGCACCTTTCTGGAGGTCTGGAGCTTGAGCAGGTAGGTGTTGTTGGTCTTGCGGTAGATGGTGGTCTTGCTGTCATCCGAGCGGGTCTTGCCGTCGGCCGAGGTGGTGACCGAGATGTCGACACCGTAGATCTCGTCCTCCTCGAGCTTGACCGTGTCGGGCCTCGAGCCGGGCTCGGCGTTGAGGACGATCTTCTTCTTTGCGTCGATCTCGTTCTTGGCAAACTGGTTGGACTGCATGCCCTCGACGGCCTTGCACTCGAACTGCTTGATGGCAGCCTCGATCTCCTTGCTCACCTCGGTGTTGAGCACGCCGGGCTTCATGACGCGGATGGCGACGTCGGCAGCGACAAGGGCAGCCTTGATGGCATCGGCAGCACGACCCTCGACCGGGTTGGAAGCATCGGCACCAACAACAAAGGTCTCGGCGCAGATGGCGGGGAGACCGTCGATGTAGGCACCGAGCTGCACCTTGACGACATCGCCCTTCTTGAGCGTGATCTGGTCCTCGTCGGTGGGGAGGGGCGAGTAGTTGCACACGACGTTGTTGAGCGAGAGCGTGGTGGGGAATGCAATGCCCTTGGCGATGCTCTTGCCCTTGTAGACGGCCGAGGTCTCGTCCTCGAGCACCTTGTCACCGACGGCGCAGAGCTCGAGCACGGTCTTGCCCTCGGCAGCGGCGGCAATGACGGCCTTGATGGCCTTGGCCGAGATCTCTCCCGCGACCTTGTACTTGGGGAGGATGGAGTCGTTGAAGCTCTCCTCCTTCTGTGCGGCCGGAGCGGCAGCGGCCTTCTGTGCAGTCGACGACATGATGGTGATGGATGTGATGCGGCGGGGTTGGGGAAGGGATGTGGTGTGAAGATGGATATGCGCGAGCGCTGCGGCGTGACCAAAGTCACTCTCGACTGGATTTGCGAGGATTGAAGATCTGCAAGGTCTTGCGGCCGACAGCGCAGCTGCACAGAGTCAAGAGCTGTGCCCGTTAAGCACTTCCGCTTTCTTCTCATTCCACACTCTCCACGCCCGCCAACTCGAAGAATTCGCGACTTCCCGTCCGACTGAAGCACCGAAAAAAAAAA